CCTGCTTCTCCCTCTCCCACTCCCTCTGCTTGTGTTCCCTCTCTCGCTGTGTCTCTCTCTGTCAAATAAATAAATAAAATCTTTAAAAAACAAAACAAAACAAAAATATGGAATGCTTCACAAATTTGCATGCCATCCCTTCCAGGGGCCATGCTAATCTTCTCTGTATCGTTCCAATTGTAATACATATGCTGCCGAAGCGAGCACTCTTTTTTTTTTTTTTTTTAAATAAAAACAATCCCACAGCACTTATTGTCCTCTGGTAATAACTTAAAGGTAATCAAAATAATATAACCAAATGTTTTAGAACTACCCTTCCAACAAAGGACATCTAAAAAAACAAACTACGTGGACTTCTCTAGAATTTCTCACTTCATTGATCATTTGTAGTTTGGAGACACTTTGGAGCAGGGTAATATTATCTCCTTTTAACGTGATCTGACCCAGTTGTTTTCTTGACTTTGTTTTAGAATGAATCTCTTTGGCATCATCTAATACAAGATTCATGTACTCATCAAAACCAATGATACAGCCCTCTATCCGCATGTTCGCTTGCTTATGAAGCCACACCTGAATCCGAGATCTATTTTGCAAGCATCTGGAGATGAGGATGATGGGCTGCACCATCACCCTCTGCACTTTTCAACCCTGGCCACGGTACGTCATGGTGGAAGCTGACAAAGACTGCTAGTCAAATTTCTTATTACCCTATAATAGCAACCACGGTTCATCATCATATATCACAGTTCTTTCATATAATTATAGAAAGCTAGCACTAGGAAGATTTTAGAAATAATCTAACCTATCTCCTTCATGTTATAGATGGGGAAACTGAGGCCCAGAGAATTTACCTGACTTGCCCTGCTGGCAGTGAGGGGAATAAGAATTTGGGTCTTCTAAACTCTTAGATGAGTACTATTTCCACCATACCTAGGCCCTCCCCTTTGACCTCTTAAAGAAGTCAAAGATTGCTTTTTTTAGTAATTGCCTATGAAAAAGTACTGTGGGTAAGGAATTACTATTCAGTGTTCTCAAAAAGAGATGGCAGGAAGTTGGACAGCCAGATTAGAACATGGGCTAGGTGCTGGTAGTCTGATATACTGAGAAAGGGCCTATTCATAACCACTCCAATTCAAAGTGGACGTGGGTTTTTGCAGGCTGAAAGAGAAGCTACTGAGGTTCTTTTGTGGTTAAATGAACCTCAGTTGCTTACCAGAATGATGTGCCCAGAACTGGTTCAGGTCCTCAAATATGTGATTTCAGACAGCGATTTAATGGCCAAAATGATGGAGAAAACCACTACTAGCAGTTAAGCATTTATCTTCACTACTGCCCCCTTGCACCTCTTACCTGGAAACTCCCAAAGCAGCTTCCCCCAGGCAGAGTGACATAGCAGACGTAAGGAGGGCTGTTGGAGGAAACCATCTCATAAACCACCAGAGCTCCGTTCTTCAAGTCTGCCCCACGGGACTGCTTCATCTGCCAGAATTCCTGAAGTGCCTCCACCACATTCACTACAAAAAGGGAAGCAGTTAAGTTCAGCAATGAGTAGTCCTGTGCTTCAAGATGGTATCTGAGACCTGAACCTACATCAAGAGTCTAACCCACCTTAGCTCCTTATCACCACTTAAAAGCATTTAAATTAATAAACCTAGACTGTGATTAAGGCATTTGCATAGCAAGACCGGTATATGCCTGGCCTCCTCCCCCGCCTCTCTGGTTCACATTTTGATTAGTCCTAAACACCAAAGCAGAATAACTTAAATATTGGAGGCAGAGCTTCCAGGTCAGCAGACCATTATCCCTGCCTGATGAAGTGCAAGTAGATCATTCCACAGTTGGTCAGGTGGCCGAGAATAATAATCCCCAGCACAATAAGAAGTGCATCTACTGAATACCTCCGTGCCCCCATTTTACAGATGAGTGAAATGAGACATAGTTAAATAATTTGCCCAAGGATGTAACAGCTAGAAAGTAGCAGAGTAAGAATTCAGAGCCAGGCTATCTTGGTTCCAGAGTCAATGTTCCTAAGCTTTGTGTAATACTGCCACTCAAGGAAATGTGTCCCTTTTAGCCGTTCTCAAGTCTATGCTTCTGGTGAGCAAACCCATAGCCAGAGTCCTTTTCCATCCTGGAATATTATACACTATGTGTATATATATACACTACACTCCTCTGTGTGTGTGTGTGTGTGAGCATGAATTTCTCTTCTGAGGGTTTCCCTAGGTAAAAGTAATTTTTGGTGGAACTGTATATTGGGAGACACTCCTTCACAGGTCTCTTGTGCGCCTTTGCATCTTGCTGGGTATGCCAAGATTTGAAGGAGATGGCTGCTCTTTCCTTGGGCCATTTCTTGGGATTGTGTTTGCAGCAAGAAACCTGAGGGATGAGGTACTGTCTCCCTCGGGGACAAAGCACAAGCCTGCTTACTGCTTGCTAAGAAATGGTAAGTTCCCCAAGCTCAGTGTTCGTTCCTCCTCTGTAATGCAGCCCGTGGCCGATGCAAGCATGCACCTGAGCCGTTCACATCAGACATGGGAGGCAAGGAGAACTGATGCAAACAAATCTGATGCTTATGCTACCTGCTGTACTGTGAGTAATAAAGTCCTTTGTCTCTGACCCAGGAGTCTCTAGACTTCTGCCACCATCTGTCAAACAGTAACCGGCTAACGTATTAGGGTAAAATCAAACTCAAAACTCAAAACCAGGCTCAAAACACTGTATTCCAGAACAGTCCCCTCTTCCCCCAATACTTGGGCTCAATCATTGCACAAATATGTATTGGGTACCGACTCTGTGCTAGACTATGTGCTGGATGCTAGGCTACAATAGTGAGCAAAACCATACCCTGTTCCATTTCCTTATGCAGTTTACAGTCTAAAGAGGGAGAGAGAGATTAACCAGACAACCTCAAGCAAATGAAAAACTGCAACTGTGATAAGCACTATAAAGGAGTTTGGTAGATGATGGGAAATGTCGTGGGGGCATCTGACCTCATTAAGAAGGCCAAAGAAAGCTACACTGACAAAGTGATATTTAAGTACAGATATGAGTATGAATTCACTAGGCAAAAAGGTGAGAGAACAGAGCTCTGAACATAAGGAACAACATATACTCTGTAGCAGCAGAGAAGATGGCAAATAAAGGGACCAGTGTGGCTCGAAGAAAAGAGAGAGGGAAAGTGTATGCAAGTGAGATTGCAAAAGTTAGTAGGGACCAGACCAAAGTGGATCTTGCAGGCCACAGCAGAGTACTGGCTTTATCTTAAGAGCAGCAGGAAGCCATTGAAGGGTTTGGGATGAAATCAGTTTTCCTTTGGAAAGGATCACTTTGACTACAGGGTTCCAAACATTTCAAGTGGCTTTAACAAAAGCCTCATAATAATACATGATCACATGCATTCTCCAATATCCTCCAACATGGCCACTCTCTACTCTTGGTTACAAGGACTCATTCATTCTTTTATAGTGTGTTAGTTTAGGTCTGCCAAGGAGAAGACACCAAGACAGGATAGACAAGCAAGGGATTTATTAGGGAGGAAGTGGGAGAAGGGAGAGGCTTCGGACCATGTTGAAGGTCTGACACCTGTAGAAGGGGCGTGGGAAGGAAGGAGGTCTGGATACGAGAATCTCAGTCAGCAGCAGAGTTCCAAGAAAGGTTCGGCCAGGCCAGTGGGAAGTCCACAAGCCAAAGGAAATCCACACCTCACCAGGATGTGTGTGAGTTAGTGCCCCTGCTGGGCCCCGTCACTGATGGGGCGGGGCGCGGCGGGGGGGGGGCAGCCTGCAGGACATGTGGCCTCAGTGCACATGTGGTGATGGACACAGAGGGGACAGCAGCTTCAGGCTGTCAGCCAGTTATGCCCCTGCAGCAGGCGATATGAATAGCACATTTTCATGGCTGCCACACACACATTAAGCAGAAATTTGAGCCCGTAATATGTACATAGCTCTATGCTGAGCATTAGAGATGCAAAGATGAATAATACACAATGCCAGTCAGCAAGGCATTCAAAATCTAGTGGCCAGCAACAACTGTTATCTCTCCTGCTCTGCAGCTGAAGCAAGTACTCCGTGTACCAGCCAGGGTATGAAAGCCGCACATGCTCTTTCCTAACACCCTGGATCTAACTGACTTTTTACAATGTTCATTCTTCCATTAAAAGGCAGCATGAAAAGGAAAGTCTGGCCTTCCCACCCTTAGTTTTGGCAGGGGCCCTTCAAAGGTCACTGCTGCCCAGAAAGCTTAGCCATCTTTGTTCTTTCCACTGAGATCTTTTCAGCCCCAGGCCCTCTTTGAGACAATTTAGCACAATAAGCTGGGTGACAGCTTTCTTGACATGCAAACAACAGGGAGAATATTGAAATAAAGAGAAAGGGGAGGAAACCATTGTAACCGGGAAGGTCCTATTAAAAAGCATATGTCCAGTCTATATCCAGTTAAATCCCTCTTGGCACACAGTACAGGACTGGTTTTTTTTAAAAATTTTATTTATTCATTTGAGACACAGAGATACAGAGAGAGAGAGAGCATGAGCAGGGGGAGAGGCAGAGAGAGAAGCAGGCTCCCCGCTGAGCCAGGAGCCCGATGTGGGGCTCGATGTGGGGCTCGATCCCAGGACCCTGGGATCATGACCTGAGCCGAAGGCAGACGCTTAACCATCTGAGCCACCCAGGCACCCCATAGGACTATTTTTTAATGATTACTCAAAGCCAAAGGAAATAGGGAGTCTTGTTTCAGAAATGGATGAAATGGGAAATTGAGCAGAATGTTCAGGAGAAAAGCGATTAATTGTGATCCGAATTTGAAACTGCTCACAGACTCATTGATCTTTAGAGCTGACAGGGATTTTGGAGATCATCTGGTCCAACTCAGGCTACAAAAGGAGAAATGACCTGCTCGAGGTCACATGCTGTGGCAGAGCTAGGGATTGAATGTAGACATCCTGATGCCAATGTTCTTTCCAGTTTGGGAATCTTAACCCAGGGTCCAAGATCAGATCCATGATTGAGCTTCATGGGAGTTCACAAGCTGCCTAAAACCCACAATGAAATCGCGTGTCTGTGTGTGTGTGTGTAGAGTTTATGGGGGGGGGGTGCCCATAGGTTTTATCAGATTTTCAGTGAGGAACCATGCACCTAATGGTTTACATGAGGATGGTTAGAGAACTGCGAGGTGGGAGGGTTAGCAATGACCACGACATACTC